GGAGGTGGGAGCAGCCCGGGGCGCGTGTGCCAAGGCTGGGGCGCCTGAGGCTGCGGTTGTAGTCGCTGAGCTTCTCCAGCCTCGCCAGTTCGGAGCTGCCCTGTTTGCTTCCCCACTGGTAGCTTTACAAAGCTGTAGCAGGTGGTATTTTTGCTTACACTCCTCCTGAGTCTGTCAATTAAACTAGCACGCTGTGTGAATATTACGAGTTCTTTTTAATCCCTGCCATGGATTTAATAGGTTATTTAGGAGTGAGGTGCATATGTGTTGTGTACAGCCTTTTGCAAGAAATGTCTTTTTACTAAAGCAGTAGTTTCCATTTATTTGTTCTTCCTGTCCTAAGCTGTCCATAAGGTTTTTCTCCTTGAGAGACCCAAGGCTGATGCCTATGCACAGACAGTGCCTTGGGAACATCAGGGCTGCCATGTCACAGAGGTTAACATTAAAAAGCAGTGCTCCTCAAGGTGTTGCAGGGGCATTAGCTTGCTTCTGCTGGCCTTAGACATTAAAGCTGTTACAAGGTTTTTGTAGTTTTGCATCACTCACTCAAAATAAACTCAGGAGTATGTGGCTCCTGGTATAAAAAAAAGCATGATGCCTCTGCTTATCTTTGTACTACCAGTGTGCTATGATGACAGTGACTGATTTTGAAAATCCTAGGTGGATAAGGGCTTCCTCACACTAGGAAGGCAGAGGAATAATTAAATTTTTCAAATCTCATACCTCTCCCCCTTTAGGCTTAAATCCTTCTTCGTATGCACTATTTGATATCTACTTTTCCTCTTTCTCTTTATGCATGGAGGGTGGAGGGTGCTGTGAGGGGGAGAAACATAGCTTTGAGCCTGGTTTGCTGCCTTAGAACATCTATGTGGAGGCAAATCTGCAAGAGCCCCCATTCCACTGTGCAGTCCAGTGCTCCTGTGCCATGGAAGTGTCTTTTCTAATCCCTTCCCTAGCCCTGACACATCTGCTCTGCTGTCCTTTGCCTGTTTTCATCTGCACTTTTATCCCCTTGGCACCCAGTTTCACAGATGGATTCCATGAGGACTTGTCACAGCCTCTGAGTAGCCTCTGGGCTCTGCTCCTGGCTCAGCTCTCCCTGCCCTGGTTCCCTTCCACTTGTAAAGTTTCCTTCTGAGGCACTTGGAAATCTGCATAAGGCATAGGCATTCACATTTATATATTTTAAAATTAGCACTGCTATTTATTCTGATGGTGGCTAATTGCTCCATTCCCTGATGAGATGTCATATGGGAAAACTGAGAGGTCTTCTCTAGGAGTCTCCATGGCATCAGTCACATTGCATTTCTGTACTCTCTGCCCACAAAGATTTCAGTAGCACATGTAATCACTCCTGCCCTCTTGCTTTTTCCAGTTGCACTGAGGTGGGGAGGTCTTCGTACAGTTGTTTTCGTTGGAAAAGACCTTTAAGATTTTCAAGTCAAACCATTAACCTAGCATCATGCACTTGTTTTCTCTTTCAGAGCCACCTTTCCTCCTCCTCCTTGTGCTACGGGTGCCTGCGTCCCTGGCAAGTCAGAGCATGTCCGGACTGCGTGGAAAAGATGCAAAAGATGGCAGAGCTGACGCTTGGGGACGAGTGCAGGGAGGGGGCTTCGGGGACTTCTGTGCTTGCTGGCTCCTGTCTTGCAGACAACAGGCTGAACCTGGATGTTTATCCTGACGGCTGCTGCCGCTTCCTCCAGCTGTTCAAGGGGCGACCAGAAGAGGTGGTCCAGGTGGAGTTCCTCCGGCTCAGCAGCAACGATCGCCTCCTTGGCACCACACTGAGCATCCTTCCTCATCTGCAGCACATTAAGTCCCTGGTGCTCAAAGGTAAATTCCTGGGCCGATCACAATCTAACTTTTCTAGACTTAGCTTTTTTTTTTCTTTTAATCTTCCTCTTGACATCTGCAAAAAAGACTGCCTTTGGAATTGTTTTGTTCTGTTGCATCCTACTACAGCTTTGACTCTTAGCCTTGCCCAGAGCTGCATGCAGATTTCAACAAGATACAGCTTCTAGACTCTTCCTTCCTTTGTTTCTGCTGCTGCCAGGGGACTGTATTTTTGGAGTCTGTTTGGGTTGATGCTGCAACATTTTCTTTGGCTAGCCTCTAGGAGAAGAACATTCTTTACACAGTTTTGCAAGGAGAGGGGGATTGAAAGATGTTGGATTTTCTTGGTAAATATTCAGGCCCTCTTTAATTTTTGGGAGGATACTGAACTATCTTTGATGTGTTTCCATCTGAGTCAACCCTAGCTTAATGCTTGCTTAGTGTCAGTGAGTGTAGGTTTAGCAAAGTTCGAGACAGACCAGAAGAGGCAATCCAAAATTTTATCAAAAGAATGACCCAATATGACCCTAATAACCTTTAGATCTGTAATATTGGATCATTCTTTGACTTTCTTGTGTATTTATTATAGGAGGATCTCGATACAAATGGTGTGATTTCTGTATCAGACTGAATAATTTGTTCTTTGGAAGGCAGAATTTAAAAAAAAGAATGTGAGAAAAGGGGGAGTTTGTGGCCAGAATTCAGAGTTCTAGCTGAAAACTGAGAAGGCTGAGTTTTGCATCTGTATCTACCACAGATTTCTCATGTGAATAATTTAATTTGTCCTTTCCTCCTCTAGTAAGTTGAAGATAACAGCAATACCTTTTATCAGGCTTGTTTTGTACACGCACCCTGAGCATCTTGAAGTGCGATAAAGGAGTTTGCTAAGGTTTTCTTGTGTCTAAAGTGCAATGTGTCTGTTAGTTTGATTGTTCTCATTTTTTACCATTGTTCACATAAAAGATGTCTAGTACCTTCTGCTGTATGTGTATACAAATAGACAACAGTGGAGGGAGAGTAGGAAACGATTAAGAAATGGAGAGTTTGGGAAGTTTCCTTTTGTTTGTTTGACTTATTTTCCATGGGTGCAGCCCTTCCCCAGTTTGAGTGTCAAGCTGGGGTGGGGAACTCTGTGCTATGTGGCCTACACAATACTGAATTACCTGCCTTTTCCCTCACATTTTCACTGCTTTCCTCACATCTCCTCTCCAGTCTTGCAAGGGCAGATCTCAGTCCTCAGGGCTGTTCATCCCTCATCAGCATGGGCAAATTCTGGAAGGTGAGAAACGTCTCCTTATTCCACAAAGTGTTGTGTGT